GTGTACTAACACGTACATCATGTGTACATGTAACATGTACATGTGTGTGTATGTGTGTGAGCAATTATGCATGCTTTACATGTAGCTTTATATGTGTATGCATGTATAGATGTACATGTATGTGTGTTAGTGTGTCATTAGTATATGTATGTGTATGTGTGTACATGCAGACACTTAGTAAGTTCTTAATTGAGGACTAACATGAGATAATAACAGACTCAATTGTGTATACTTGTCTATTAATATATTGTGTATTATTAATTTTATTATGTCATCTTTGTGTTACATAAAACACACTGTGCAGACTATAAAACTATGAGTTAGCTATTGTGTTTATTAACCAGATATCAAATCAATTAATATGTCATACACAAATTAATTATTATGATTTTAATTTTATAGATTAATCTACAAGACAATGTCACTAGGAGATACTGGCATTCCCTCTCAGTGTGGAGTGTGACCCCAACTACTAAATGGATAATTGAGTTTGGAGGAGGATCAGCAAGCTACAGTACTGATACAGCAGTTATTGAACTCAGTAAGTACATGTATGACAGTAGTAGATACAATGTGTATTGAATATGTAATGATGATTAGTAATGATAATATTACAATAAAATAAGTAATTCTTATGATGAATGTTTAATGAGAGCATTTGACGTATACCTATGATACTAATTATTACCAATTCATTCCTGCTATGTACAATAGTGAAATATAATGACTTCAGATACAGAAACACTGATAGTAATAGGAGCTAGAGTTAATGAAATATTATTATCAGTGTATTTATTGGGGCAAGCTCAGGCTCGCCCCACTAAGGCGAGAAAACGTCTGTCTGTCTGTCTGTTTGTATGGGCAGTAGGATCGTCTAACTATTATTAATGTTAATTAATCTAACTATGATTATGCTCAAGTGCATGCACACAAGCCAATATAACCATGCTTGCAACAAAAATTAACCAGTATTCAGCAATTTTTCTTGTGGCAGCATTTTTACAGTGAAGTCAGAGAAATGAATCAAGAAGAAGTTCATAAGACTCGTCGTAGAGAGCTCTATAGCCAGAGAACAGCTGCAGAGACTCCTGAAGCGAGAGAAGCCAGGCTGGCTATGAGAAGAGTCTCCACTAGAGCTCTTAGAACTAATAATATCTAATTGCGTGTGCATACTCAGGCTTGCCCCTCAATGTTCTACGTTACTCCTAGTATACAATAATATTTTCATGTGGTTAACTGTGTAAACTGACAGAGGTCACACATACAATGATTAAATATGAATCCATTAATAATAAGGTTACCATAGTAACTAACTGTAATTAATTTGTGTATTTCTTATTTTCCACTATTTTGTTACTGTATAGGATATACTAGTGATAATGATTGGTCTACTAGTGTAATACCTCTGGACCAGTATCAAGATCAACTAAGAAGAAGGATACTGAGTGATTGGGAGAATTTACAAAGAGAGAGAGAATTCTATGAGGAACAGCTTCAAAAAGAAATAAAAGAGAAGGAGCAGATACAGCAAGATCAAGAGAAAGAGCAGCAACAGCTTTTTCAAGAAAAGGCGACACTTAGTCAGCAACTTGATGATGCTACCACTCTCCTTGAGCAAGCAGAAAAGGATAAATCAATTCTTGAATTAGGTACTATTGTGATGTACTGTTGTTTATGTGTACATTGTTTACATTATAATACTAGTGGATTAGACAATGTTGAGTATGGAAATAGTATCCTGTACTCAATATAGGTCAAATTGTCCATGCATTAGAAATAATGAGATTCATGTAGAGTGAGCTCTGTTTACCATGTTTGGTATCATTAGCAATAATCATAGTACATGTATTTATGGGCTACTGTACATGCAGTAAAAATTAGTTTAAGCAACTAATATCATTTTACTTTGTATTTTGTATTTTTATTGATAATAGAATATAATGAGAAACTTAAAGCTAAAGTTGCTGAAATATTGGAAGAGAAGACACAAGTAGAAGAGAAGAAACAGATTATTACTGGTTAGTGTATCATCAGTATATAATATTAGATGAGAGAGTATTCTATTAATGTAGAAGATTATGAGACACTCAAAGTAAAAGTAGCTGATATGGAGGAACAATATCTCAAGGAGAAACAGATCATTATTGGTTAGTTAACTATACACACAGCATGTATTAGATGAGAGAATATGTTTATTGTGTAGACGACAATCAAAATCTCATTTCTGAGAAAGAAAAAGTTATAACTAAACTGACATCACAAGTAGAGGAACAATCACAGA